CGGACGGGATGGGTACTGGCGAGCCCATTCCCTTCTGCTTGGGGCCGCCGGTAGCTAAGTAAGATCGGTATGCAGTCACGTTTTCTTTTTTCTGAAAATAGCATCACTAGCCCTACAGAGGTTGGGCCATCGTGTGCGTGTCCTACACGAGCCGTTATGATGCCGGCACGAGGCGGTATTTCGTGTTTGTTTGATGGATGGTAATGAGGCAGGCGCGGTGAGGCAGGGTCAGTTAATATCAGCCCGTGTGATTCTCTTTTTGCTTGTTCTGTCGGGGGTTTTTTATTTTCTTATCCTATCACTCTTCTTCTTCTTCTTCTTCTTCTTCTTCTTCTTCTTCTTCTACGCAATGTTCTACTGCCTTCCTTTCTTGATCTCGACACACAATTGGGCCCAACCACCAGGATAGAGAGTGGGGGGAGGGGGGCATATGTTGAGATGGGGTGGTGTTGGGAACGTGACTACCTTGCCAGTCTGCCGTGACGGAATCCGACAGGACGAATGCACAAGAGGGAAAAATAAATGAAGTGAGAAGAATCAAGAGGTGGAATGGGTGAGCGGGAAGTGGAGGAGAGGAGGCACTGCCCAGCGGTTTATATTACTCGTGCATGAGGAGTCTTGGAGGGATGACACTCTGCCTTGGGAGGCCTGGGTGACCTTGCCTTTCTCACTGCGCGCACGGCGGCTGTCATGGGCTTGGGCTTGGGGGGTGATGCTGTCGATGACTTTCCTTGAAGAGGATGGTCAACCTTGGGTTTGGCACTATACAGTACATGGCCATGTGTTGGTCTGCTGAGTTCCGAGCACTTCCGAGCGAAGGGATGCGAAGGGATCATAATCACAGCAACAAGTGTGCTGTGATTGTACAATGGTGGTGGGAAACTCATCTATTCCAGCTTATGTCTGCTATTCCTTCCCAGGTTTTTTCTTCTGCTTTGTTGGGCAATATATCTCTTTCCTGCGTCGCTGTGTTGCTTTCCGACTGGACAAGACATGTCACGGACGGGACTTGCCACACGTGGGACTTTTATATTAAAGAGCAAAAGGAGCTGCTGGTTTGGGATAGCTTTCTCATGTCTTGGTTGCTGTCTTTACCTGGTTTCCTTCTTGATGTTGGCAAGGGTCTGTTCCCAAAGAGAAAGGTGGCATTGTGTTTGATGCTTCTTTTCTGTTGTTCTGTTGCTTTTCGGGGAGGAAGAGTGTTGCTTCTATCACGCACCGCGCATGCAGCGGAAGCATAGAGGAGGGTTCTAATAATATGTTCATGTATCGGCTCGGTATTGCTTGTGGATCAAGGACCCTTGATGGCATCATGACGAAGAGATCATGCCGCGATTGGCGAGTGCCCAGAAGAAATGCCCAGGAGAACAACCCGGGTACTTGGGACTGTGGATTATCACAAGGAAACCGTTTTGATGACGTTTCCTGATGCATGTATGGAGCTTGTTACATTAATCTTGATGGCTCAGCGTGATAGGCGGTCACGAGCGTTTTTGTAGATAACGTAGATTAAAGAAGACTTGTTGAGTAAGATGCTAGAAGTAAGATGTGATAAGCCCATTTCGTGGGTCGGTTTGCTCATCGGAGCGGTCGTGCTCTAACCATTAGTCTGGAAGTATAGGGGCTGTCAGGGGCCTCAGGGGGGGTTGATGACCTGACGGACTTCATGTCAACAAAGATGGGTTTATCAACACGTAGGGTAGATAAACAAAGACAGTACTTTCTCTGCTTCGGTTCCAAATGAACTAGTGCTACTCTAGCGTTCAAATGCTATATTAAATAGCTGGAGAGTCTCTTACAGAAGAGGTCTATTTGACACTTTTTTTAGTCAATTTTGCGGTGCCTCGTGTTGTGGTCTCTTGTCGGTCTAACAGTGAAACGGTACCATGATAGGCTTTGGCCCACATTCATTAGCATCTCGCAAGAATGAGATACTGCCATTGCATTCTCGATGATGGTATGAATCCCAGCTTGGAGATCTGTCGGTGATAGAAAATGGCTACCGAGGAATGCTGTCCACTCACATGGTACAGCATGAGGTATTCGTAAAGTTTGTTTGCCTTCACGCTTCAATAGGTATGAAATGGTTCTTAACAATGGTACGTGTACAGCAAGGAAGTATTACTGCTCACTAGAGATTCGCCAGTGTTGACAAAGTCAGTCCGAGTACGAGAAGGCAAAACTGACAGGTCAAAGACCAAAACTGTTGAATCACAAATTGCAGTTATTTACTGGTTGTACTCGAACGGCTTTTCACCGCAGGTACCACAACATGGAGGCGGTGATAAACCGACGTCAAAAGCCTCTTTGACTTTTGACTGGAGCGCGCTCTGTGTCTCAACAAGGCATTAGATGTCTAAGCACGAAAAGCAATATCTTTCAGCCACCGAATGTGAGCTGTCCTTGGCCACGAAATGCCCTGTTTTCCCATCCCCACACATGATTCCCATGATATTTATGCACAACAGTCTCAAGCCACTGTAGTACAAATACCGAGGTATGGCAAGATATCCTGCACGGTTTTCTCCGAGTTGAACTTTGTGCGACTCTCGGTCTGACTTCTTGATCCATGAAGCCTGATATTGAAGACGATCAACAAGTCCCTAGTTGTATCTCTTCAAGTATCAAAGCCCCCCTAACACAGTGATGCTCGCCTACCGCCCACGCGGCTTGGAGCATCACGGTCTAAGAATGTTGCACAACATCAGAGTCAGCTAACGCCTCACATCTCACACTTCACACATAACTTTCGGTGTTTTCAAGCCGAGCTGAGATATACCTAGGTAGCCAAGTGATCAACATGAGAGTTGAGTTTTGAAGAACTGTCAAGGATCTCAGATCCGGAGGCAAAGGTGGCGTAAGGGTCTGAATCATGATTGTGTCTAATGATAGATACATGTCTCTGTTGTCTTGGTCTCGTCAATATTCGGGTACATCCGGGATTATGATGCCGACCAGAGTCAAAGTTCTGATGTTGGACAACATCGATGGTGTTATACTTCGGGGGTCTTCATGTGAAGTGGTTCTTGACCCGCTGAGACAACAGCACACCAGATAGATGACCTCAAGGCTGTCTCGGCTCTTTAGTTCCGAACGTCTTGTGTATCATCAATACTCTGGGGCGATATTGATGTGGAGATGAATGCGAGCCTTCTTGTTTGGCGACAATGGTGGGCATGTGACTGGTGTATGCGTCTGGCTGGACAAAGACAGTTCTTCTCTCCATGAGCTTCAATCAAAAGAAGTAACCCACAGGCTTTATGCTGGCAAATAGCCCGTAGAAAATGAAGTCTTGGTCTCTGAGATACTTGGTACGGTAATGCCTGGCTTTTGGGTTGAGGGTTTTTGAACCTTTAAGACAAGGCTTTCCGGAGTGAATTTTCCTTTGCGGCGTTGAGAATGGACCAAGAAGTTGTCATGATGGGAGCCAATAATTTTATACAGGTATGGATAGGGAAAAACTGCCCTCATAACTGATGTTTAGCGATGATCTACACACATACAGAACTGATATTCAAGGGGTGTGGTCAGAGGCCAACCCTAACCCAGCTATCTTGACCATCAACTTACAGCCAAGGCAGTGAGGCCGGAGTACGGATTGCTGGATTCTGTACATCCTTTCCCCTTGTTTCCATTCCTCTTTCAACTCAATTGACTCATATATAATCTAACCATAACAATGCCAGCAAGAGCAAACCTTCGCATCCCTTCCCGCACTCTCTTTCACCAACCAAGAGTGACGTCATACCTCTCATCTCACCCCCTATCCCCTATCGCCGACAAGCCTCACCACCAACGACTTCACAATCGCCTTTCACTTCGACTTCATATACCCTCCTCCTCCTTCCACACATATTCAACTCTAGCAACCCCTCTCACCATGCCAAAACGCAAAACCACCACCACCACCACTACCAAACCAACCACCACCCGCCAGTCCAAACGAACCAAAACAACCACCCCCTCATCACCCCCATCATCTCACCCCGCCATGTCCCCCTTCCCAAAAGCCTCCTCCTTCTTCACCCCCCTCCCCCCCTCAAAAACCAACCGCCTCCTCGAACCAGGCCCCATCCTCCTCGTCTCAACCGGCAACCCCCAAACCCAAACCCACAACCTAATGACCCTAGGCTTCCACACCATGATCTCCCACTCCTCCCCCACCCTCATAGGCCTAACCCTCGGCCCCTGGGACCATTCCTACTCCCTCCTCTCCTCGTCAAAAGAATGCGTCCTCTCCATCCCAAACCTCACCCTTGCCAAAACCGTCGTCGACATCGGCAACATCTCCTCTTCCGACCTCCCCCCCTCCGAAACAAAATGGGACCGTTTCAAACTAGACCCCATCCAAGGAGAAAAGGTTTCCTGCGCGCTCGTCGGAGGTGACGGCATAATCGGGAATTTAGAGTGCAAAGTGGAGGATGAGTCGCTAGTGAAGAAATACAACTTTTGGGTTTTGAGGGTTGTCAAAGGGTGGGTGAATGAGCAGAACTTTAGGCTGGATGGGACAGCGGTCGAGACGGACAAGGGGAAGATGATGCATCATAGGGGGGATGGGAGTTTTTTTGTTGGTGGGGAAGAGGTGCTGGATTTGAGGGGACGGATGACAAAGTGGAGGATGTTGCAGGATTAAGGGGTGCGAGGGAAAAGATTATGAGGTTTAGGTGATTGGGGATACAAGTCATGGACGGTATGGTGAATCACAATGGTCATGATGAAAATAAAAACACACATAAAAAAAGGTCATTTGGAATCGTCTCTTTTTAGCAGCCAACCCCCCAAAAATGATATCAAACAACAAAACATTTCCGTCGCCGTCATAAGCCATTCCAAACATACCATAGCCAGCTAGCCTCTAGCACCTGCTCTAAAACCGCCAGAAAGCACAATCCAGTCAACACAAAAGAAAAAGACGGCAACACCACCCGCAAACCAAAACCTAGCAATAAAAACTAGAGTACAAAACTGTGGTTATTATTGCACGCTGAGCTGGAACATTGCTAATAATCCATCGGCGCATCCACCAACGCAACGCCCCTCTGCGCCCCATTACTTCCACTGCTCTCTCTCTTGTTAATATTCTCATTGCTGCTCGGAGGTGGCGTCTCGGTCCTGTTCGAAGCAGGCGTTACCCTCCTCCCCGAGGAGAACCGGGCACCGCTTCTCCCGAGGCTGTTCCTCTTCTCCAACACGGCCTCGCTATCCTGCTGCGCTACCTGCTGCACCTGAGGCACAATGGGGAGGGCACCCCCTAAAAAGTTACCATCAGCGGGGTGGCTAAGCCCCATGCTCGCATCGTCCGGCACCTCGAGGCTTGTCCTCTTGGGGAGCACAGGGCCCATGCTCTGCCGTTTCCTGTGAGCCTGTGTTGGGCTGGAAAGACCAGTCGAGATGGGGAAGCGAGTCTCTGGTCTGCCCACCGACCTATCACGGGCATGGCCACGTGGGCCAGGAGCCGGAGAGGTAGCACGAGATCTGCTGCCCTGTGCCTTTTCAAGGAGCACACGGTTGCGCTCTTCCATGTGGGCTTTGCGGTTGCTTTCGTCGGTGGAGATGGCTCGTGGGCGGCCACCTGGGTTGGCGCGGAGGGTTCCAGACGCGTTATTGGTAGAGAGACGCTTGAGTTCGTTGAAGATGGCGTCCTTATGGGCGAACAAGTCACGGACCAAGCGGTAGGCATGCTTCTCCTCCATGGTGAGCGAGGTTTCGGTGCGAGGGCGAAGCACGCAAGGGGCCAAGGAAGTAGCGAGCTTGACGATGTACTCCTCATCGGCAGAGGTCAGGTCGATCAGGCGGGTGAAGTGGTTCATGCAGGCATCCAGTGTGGCAATATTAGTGAGCCTCAATTGAGACAGTGTCTGCTGGAGGATGGGCACGCGGGCGGCATCGCTGTCGTTGCCGGTGGGGGTAGTATAGATGGTTCTAATAATTTCATATACGTGCGAAGAAACCAAAGAATCTGAAAAAATGTCAGTAAAGCCCAGAAGGCATATCGCAAAGGATAAAAGGACATACCTGGAAGCTCAAGAAGGTATAATTTCAACAGGCTGGCAACAGTCGGGATGTCAAAATCGGCAAAGGTTTCCAACGCAGGCGGCTTGCCATTGTTGACCAAAGCTCTCAACTTGTGCGTTTGAGACAAGGGAACCTCGTGGAGCCACACCCCTCTCCGGGCCTCATCGCCCTCGAGGTCTGGATAGTGATGATCCAAGTAGGTAAGCAGCGTTGTAACGATAATAGGCACACGCTTTCTGTCAGCCCTGGCTCGGGCCTCGAGATCCACACCAAAGGTCTGGTCATCCACCTTGTTGTAGTAGTTCTCGTACGTTACAACCTTGGGAGCAAAGCTACCGGTGCGGTAGTTCTCCAAGAGATAGCGCAAGTCGCCAAGCGGCTGCACTGTTTCCTGGAACAGCATCATGTTATCCACGGTGGCCTGGAGGCTAGGAATAACGTTGCTGATAGTGCCCGAGAAGTCCAACACAACTGTCTTGATGGCCTTGAGCCTATCCAGCTCGCAGCGCTCAAGAAACTTGAGATGTAGGAAGATGGCCTCCTCCAGCTCGCACCTCATTTCATCCAGCTTCAGAACACTGGCCTTGTATTTTTCGTCCGCCTCCCGGGCCTCCCGGCGCATACGCTCAGCTGGCGTCTCGTTCGGCCTGGAAGTGTTGAGCACATCCCACTTGGCGAGATATTCAGTAACAGTGCCAACCACAGGCGAGTCAGAACCATCAGACCCAGAGGTGGGCATGGAGAAGGCTCTTGAAATCGACTTCTTTTCTGGCACACCAGACATCTCGAAAGCCTTGGGCCGCCATTGGTAGTGCATCTTTGAGCTATTGGCGAACGTATTGCCAACATTACCAACCAGTCTCAGGAAGCCGTGCGTTACCAAATCCTGGCCGATTCTCTCGGCATAGCTCACGCTTGAGCTTCCCATGTGCCGTTGAAGATACTCGACAATATCGGTTCCCGCAGACGTGTTTTGATATGTGCCGAGAATGGGGACCTTGGTCTCGCCCATCTTGATCGTATTCAGCATGTGCTCGAGGATCTTCTTGACTTGGTCGGGGGTATAAGTCTCGTCGCCGATCTCGTAGGGCTCCTCCTCCTCGGCAATCTCGGGTTCGACCTTGATTTCAGGGATATCTTGGCCAGTTTTGGGGCTCGTTTCGGGGTCTTGGAACGCCAGCTTATTCTCCTCCTCCAAGTCTTCGAGTAGTCGGCACTTGTTGAAATAGGTGCTTCGGAGCTTTTTGCAAAGGTCGGCCTGCTTGTCGTGCGCCTTGATTCGAGACTGCAGCTCATCTTGCGAATCTTGTATCCGGGATTCGTGGGCCTCGCACCAGCGGCCAAAAGGGTTCACAACCAGGTCGCGAATATTCTGTGCAATCTTCTTGTGATTCTTGGCCGCTTCCTCCATCTCGGTCCGCACACCTTCATAGGCCTTCCGCACGCTGGCGCCATCGTCGCGGTTGAACCCTCCCTGGACCTTGTCGACGGTCGGGGCGATGTCGGATAGCTTGTTTCCGTAGATCTCTTCGGCCTCGGCGCGCATTCGAGCAATGGTTAGAAGCTGGCGGTTCTCGACGACACCTTGTTGGAGCTTGCCGAACAGGACACCCAGTCCTTGAATTCTGTCAGCGCGGCCCGTTCACCACCTCACACTGGACATGCCAAAAAATCCACGCAAGAAACTCACCTGCGGCGTAGTCATTCGACCAGAACGAGTCTGCGAAACCGGGCATCTTTGCGAAAGACGACCGATTGCGCTCGGCGATGGCGTGTACTCGGAACGGGTGGTAGAATTAGAGGTCAACGGCTCGCCCGGGAAGAAAAAGTCAAAGACTAAACAAAGATTCGAAGTGCTGTGCTGGTCGTGAACTCGTAAAGCCAGTTTCGAGAGTTGGCCCCCAGAAATGGTGGATGCAGGGGGAACGTAGCCAAGGAGGTGTGGTGTGCGTCTCCAGCGCAATTGAGGCTGAGTGTCTTACACTACGGAGTAGCTGGTACCGTACCGGGCAGTTGGGTAGAAATGTTCAGAAGAAAACTCGGTTGGTAGGGCGCCGGAAGGCCGGGTCTGGAAGGGCACGCGACGGGACCTGAAGGTCAGTGATTAGGAAGCAATGGGACGGGAGAAAAAGAAGCTTCAGTTGAACAACAAAAAAGTTCTGGATTCCGGCGCAATGATGGAAGCGGCAAGAAAGCAGGCAAGTGTCCCGACAACCCCAAGATGCAGAAACCCAGCGCCATCGCCGTTTCATTGGCCAGACAGCCAGAGCACCGAAAGCTTTCACTGACGACCGACAAGAGGCCACCAGCGGGGGCCTGCCCCTCAACCCCTGCAGCAGATTGTGGCCCACCAAATGTCCACCATTCACCTCGAAACGAACAGCCGGAATGCCCTTGCTCACCGACTTCTTGAAACGTCAAGTCTCTTTTCAGCTAGAGACACCTCAGCAGTACAATCAGGCTTGTTGGAGAGTTCGGAATGTCTTGTCTCGCTCTTGTTGGTTCTGGGCTTCGGAGGACGAACGACCACCAGGCACTGATGACGTAAGGAGACCGTTTTAGAAGCACCTGAAGAATAGTGTAGGGCTGTCAACCAGCCTGGGCAGGGTCCAGCTCGCCCAGCCTGTCCGTGTCAACTCACGATATCATATTCTTGAGCATAGCTTGTCTGGAAATCTGCGGCACAATCGTGTAGGGAGCTCATGAACTATACCTGTCTGACAGCCAACAGTTGCCGACGGGATACGGATCATGTCAACCGCAGCATCCTAACAGGTTGGTTGGTAAGTAACATATCATTCTGTTAGTGCACAGATATTTTTCTTAACAGCAACAGAGAGAATCAGCGAGAATCTCAGTGGGCTCAAAGCACGTCAAAAAGTACTTCATAAACCAATTGAATACAGGCTTCTGAAATTATACATTGTATTATTCATGATACCGGACTCTCATCAAAATCCCAAACGCTTGCAAAAAGCCCTAAAAAGCTGTCATGAAGCTTGGCCGAGACACTCTCCCTTTAGCGACCCGAGTCTAAGGATTGCTAAGCCGCGTATCAATCCCCGTCTCCGTCCCCTGACGTCTTTACACCCGTATCCAAACAAATCTGCCTCGCCGTCTATGCAGCTTCGGAGCATCGACACTATCGTCTCCAAAGAACAGAAATAATCCACAGAGGGTTAAGTTGCCAGTTCCGATGAAGTCGGACCGATACCCCAAGTGGGCCGAGCTCGAAGCCGGCGACTTCGGCTCCGATTCACGGTCACGTCGGAGGCCGGCAAGGGCGAAGAGAGTGACTTTGTGTGTTGTATTCTCATGCCTCTTACTTTCATATCTGTTTTTCCCCATAAGCGGTGCCGGGTATATTCCCCGGAGGCCCCCCGCGTCAAAACCACAGCTGCCAAACAGCATTGAAGAGCGCGTCAAGCACATCTTGAGCCATACACCCTTGATTGGTAAGTGGCATATCAAATTATCTATGAACCTGGGGAATGACTTAGATATCAGATGGACACAACGACCTGGCCATCCTCCTCCGGGCCTACTACAACAACCACATCTACAACGACAACTTCACCAAGCCCTTCACCAAAGGCGGTCTCACCGGCCATGTTGACATCCCCCGTCTCAGGGCCGGGATGAACGGCGGTGCTTTCTGGAGTGTATTCTGGCCCTGCCCGTCCAACGGTTCAGATTTCTCAGACTCCAGCTATAGTTCCAGTCAGTCTCCCCTACACCCTACCACATCCATAGGTACCTAACACACGTCCTAGTCGTAACATCAACCTTCTCCCAAATCGACCTCCTCCACCGCCTCTCCTCCTCCCACTCAGAAACCTTCTCCCCCATCATCAACATCTCCTCCCTCTCCGCTCTCGCCGCCTTCCGCAAAAACAACCAGCTCATCTCCCCCCTCGGCATCGAAGGCCTCCACCAAATAGCCAACTCCCCCTCCATCCTCCGCCAATACCACTCCCTCGGCGTCCGCTACGCAACGCTAACGCACAACTGCCCCAACAAATTCGCCGACTCCGCCCTCGACACTCTTCCAGACGACCCGAGAAAAGTCCGGATCGCACCCCCTGTTCACCACGGGCTTTCTGCGCCTTATGGTGTCGACCTCATCAGGGAGATGAACAGGCTAGGTATGATTATTGATTTATCTCACACTTCTGTTGATACCATGCTCGATGTCCTTGGTGGGAATCCAGACAAGACAAACGGGAGCAGGGCACCGGTTATGTTCAGCCATTCCTCTGCTTTCGCCGTCTGCCCTCACCCGAGGAATGTTCCTGATCGTGTGCTTGATCTGGTGAGGCAGAACGGGGGGGTGGTGATGGTGAATTTTGCGCCGGATTTCATTAGTTGTGTTGAGGGTGGGGAGGGGGAGTTGCCGGTTTTTGATGGGGAGAATGCGACCATTGAGCAGGTGGTGAGGCATGTCAAGTATATAGGGGAGCGGATTGGGTGGGAGCATGTGGGATTTGGGAGTGACTTTGATGGGATTGAGAGTGTACCGAAAGGATTGGAGGATGTGAGCAAGTACCCTGATTTGGTTGGCAAGTTGTTGGAAGAGGGGGTGAGGGATGAGGATGTGAAGAAGGTGGTGGGGGGGAATGTGTTGAGGGTTTGGGGGGAGGTGGAGAGGGTTGCGAGGGAGATGCAAGAGAAAGGGGAGCCGGTGATGGAGGATGAGCTGCATAGTTTGTGGTGATTATCGGTGGGGTTTCTTTTTTTTTTTTGTTCTTTTTTTGTTTGTTCATTGCTTGTTGTATTGTACACTAGAAACACAGATTTCTTTTCCGGGCCCAGGCTGTTGGTTTTTTTCAGCTCCTGCACTCCGGGATAACCTCTAACGCCGCGCCAATGGTTTCTTGTCTCCTCTTCCACTCTCTAAATCCTATATAAAGTTCTACCCCTTGCGCTCGACTCTGTTGAGCTTGATGGCGGTCTTGTTCTGGTTTCTTGTCCGTTGGCCGCGGACGGGCAGGTTCATGGCGTGTCTTCTGCCGCGGTATGTTCCCATGTCACGTAATCGTTTGATGTTATCCTGGATGATCTTTCGCGCATCGCTTTCTATCACCATGGTTGATAACTCGGCTGTCAGGGCTGTGACGGTCTTGGGCGACAGCGTGCCAATCTTGGCTCTGGGGTGGATGGAGTGCTTGGCCATGATCCGGGTCGCAGTCTGAGAACCGAGGGCATAGAAGTGTTGGAGGGCTTTCTGTGGTCGGGAGGTTAGAATAGTTGTTCATCATCGTCGGTCTTGGAGGGGCAGGAGACGGCGCACCTGGACAAGCTTGGCCTCGTGGAAATTGACACCGAATAGGGACACCTGATGATCATGGTTAGCACATTGCAAGCTGTGGGAAATAACTGGGAGCTCGTACCATGTTGAAGAATGCGGGCTGCCAGCCTCAAGTCACCGTCTCGTTGCTAGCAATCGTGGGCCAGGGCCAATGTCGTCGCAGACAAGGTCCCAACTTGAATTCGAGATGCGACCGGGTCCTGCCGATTAAAAATCCGGCGGACGTTTGGCAGCTGGGTGCAGCCGGCAGACCCCGGCATTTGGTTGCCTGGACTTGGGCTGCAAGCCAAGCAGGGGTCTTGCCCAAAATGAATTTACAACCAAAATTCATTCGCCGAGTGAGTCGAATATCAGAGCAGCACGACGACTCACACACCTCACAATCATGAGAACATTCCAATCACGGCCAGAGAGGGACCTCCCCTACTCGGATGAGTTCTCCTCTGCCGAGGAATACATCGAGAGCCTCCTCGACTTCACCACCAACTCAGAGACCTTTCGCTTCCTCTGCGGTGGTGTTCACATATTGGACTTTTTCACAACCGAACCCGGCGTCTTCGTTGCAGCTGTGCCCAAGGAATGGCAAGCTTTTCTTCTGGAGAAGGAGCCAATGGTTCTCCTCGATTTTCTCATGCGGGACGACCTGTCATCTCTCTCACCCAACCGTGGCCCCGGCTCACCTCCCGAGTCGCTTGTTCGGTATGTCAAGGACATCAGAAAACATTCGTTGAGACGGTCATTTCAGCCTAGCAAGCCCAAGCTCCCCATACTGCCCCGATCAGTCGCCCTTGGTATGAAGACAAAAAAGGTTCACGAAGTGACCCATTTTGCCGGGTACATCGACAGGCTGGCCGAGGACATTGCTGAGACCCGGGGCAAGGACTTGACTCACTTTGTCGACTTTGGCTCTGGTCAGAACTACTTGGGTCGTACTCTTGCAAGCCCACCTTACAACAAGCACATTGTAGCAGTGGAGAGCAAAGAAGCCAACATGGCTGGCGCCAAGGACCTCGATATCCTGTCAGGCTTGGCCGAGAAGGAGAAGCGAGTTCGGAACAAGAAGCTCTACCACCGGATTCTAGAGGCCACGGATCCGTCTCAGCATAACGACGAGGAGGCCTTGAAGCGGGTCGCAAGAGAACTCGGTGTGACGGACGAGGAGCTTGCCACGATCGATCTCAGATCACGCAAGGAGATGCAGGCCACGTATACCGTCGAGGAGGGGAAGGGAACCATCGAGTATGTCGTCGGGCGCCTTGAGCACGCCGACCTGACTGGTGTTCTTTCGCAGCTGAGGGGTTGCGAGGAGGAGGTTGACCAAGACAAGCTCGCTATGATGGCGGTATCCATCCACTCTTGCGGGAACCTCTCGCATTATGGTATTCGTTCCATGGTGCTGAACCCATGCATCCACGCCGTAGCCATTGTGGGCTGCTGTTACAACCTGATGACGGAGAAGTTGGGTCCCCCTACTTTCAAGCCCCCGTTCGGTCGACCAAGTCTGCAGCCCATCAATGCTCGAGTTGCACGAGAAGCAGAGAAGCGAGACCCCCAGGGCTTCCCCATGAGCGAGCGGGTGTCCACTTACAATGACGACGGGGTCCGACTGAATATCACCGCCCGCATGATGGCGTGTCAAGCGCCTCAGAACTGGACTGAGCAGGAAAGCAGCGGCTTCTTTACCCGCCATTTCTACCGTGCGGTCCTCCAAAAGATGTTTCTGGACAGGGGCGTCATCTCGCGGATCTATCATGGTGAAGAGACTGACAAGAGTGTCTTTAACACAAGCACCAACCCGGTGGTAATCGGGTCCTTGAGGAAGCAGTGCTATACCTCATTCGCTGCCTATGTCCGTGGAGCAATTGCAAAGCTGACCACCAACTCCGAGTTCAGCCAATACAACGAGGTCATTACAGAGAAGATGGGGAACATCACGGACGAGGAAATTGCTCGATATGAGGACGAGTTCCGAGATCGGAAGAGAGAGCTCAGCGCCGTATGGAGCTTGATGGCCTTCAGCGCATGCGTCGTAGAATCCCTGATTGTCACTGACCGCTATCTCTTCTTGCGCGAGCACTCCGATATCGTCCAAGACTGCTGGGTCGAGACGGTTTTCGATTACCGCGAGAGCCCCCGCAACCTGGTGGTGGTTGGCATCAAGAGGTAATCAGACATTGGGCATCGATCAATGCGCAAAGTTTCTCATTGCTTCTTGTATGTGGTGATCGGTTGGTGGCCCCTGAGTTTTGCCGCCATTGGCCGCCGGCAGACTTCGGATGGTTCTTTGAGGTCTCGACTGTGGCTAGCCGTCAACGATATTGATTCCTTCGGGCCGAACCTCCAGCGGCCAGCCGAATATTGTCCAGTCGCCGCCACCAAACCTCTCCACCAAAAGGCCGAGATTTGACATGTCAGATCAGGAAACCCAGCAGAATCATTATGAACCAGTCCCGTGCTTCAATAGGGCCGAAGGGAAGACGCCCCCCGCCTTTTGCTATCGCCGTCACACCCATGGTGCATTCCTCGAACCTGCGTCGTGCAGTCTGGTTCAAGCTGGGGGCGCAGCGACTGGGGAGCGTGGCGTCACAGTTCATGTTGGTTGTCAAGATTATTGGATCAAGTTCTCGCCGGTCTTTTCCGCCCGGCTTCCGGCCAGGTCCAGATCTCAACATGTCTCATGGGCATCTGAGCCATATTCCACAGCGGTCACATCCACCTCGATGGATGAAACTTCGCGAAGCCCGAGGTGCTCAGGCGAGTGTGTGCTGGCGATGGGGGCTATTGTTACGACAGAATCGACTCAACCCCACCCTGGAGAATCTGGTGCATCGTGGTTTTCTACCCACGTTGATATCCGGCAACTACCAAATGCGGACTGGCCGAGCAGTGGGATTGGGTCTCTTGCCCATCATCACCAAGCTGCCGGCAGCACACTATGACAGGAACCTGAGAGTTGTTGAACATTATCAACGGGTATTATAGCAACAGAGCTTTCCCTCGTCCCCCCTTTCTCGATCTTGTTACGTGGGTGTTTCTATGCCACGACACGGGAGGGCTGATCAGCAGGGCGGGGAAAGCTGCAGCTCCCATCCCCCGGTCTTTTGTCAGGAACAAGATTTTTTTTTGTTGAAAGCTCGCCGAGGTGTGTGTTCCTGTGTTTCTCCTTGGTCAATTTTACTCCGAGTCTCAGTTGGCTTTCTCCCAGCCAGTTTCCACCCCTCTTTTTTCCCCTTCTTGGCGCTGTCGACCTGGACATTGCACCACATTGTACTCATCTCTCGCAACAAACACATGACCAGCCAGCCATCAGCTTTCCGACGACAGTGCAGGCCGGTTGCTGTGCGGTGGTGGTACGGTCTCTGACTGGAGGAGTCTAATTAGTTGCCGGACTGCTGAGTGCGGGGCAATGGAACTTGGCAACGCCGCAACATGAGCTCTCACCAGCACCAGCACGACGGATGATGGATGGAGAGGGTGATCTGAGCGGAGACGCCATCCGAGGGTGTCCACCCTGTGAACCCCTCCCCCTCTATTTGCTTCGGCAGCTGTCTGATCTCTAGATCATGATCTTTCGAGTGAGAGAGACCTCGGAGGAGCATCCGAACCCCTGTCTCAGGAGCGGCACGCCTGCGCAAGGTGAGGACCGGCAAACGAGAAGCTTTCTCGCTTGGAGGTTAGGACACCGTCGGCTCGTGAACCCCCACGTCGACGGCCCACCATGGCTGCACGCAAGTTGCATGCAGAGAGGGCCCCAAAAGGTGACAGGTCACAATCCCTTGGGACTCTCTTTTTGCGATCGCGTCAGGTCATGGGAAAGGGCCAAGCTGTCCCGAGTGGACCTTTTGGCGTCAGAATTCAGTTCCCGATGGCTTTACCTATCATCTATGGAGTTCCATATGTAAGCCCAGAGATCAATGTGGCCCCATTGATGCCGATCCCTTCCTTATCTCGACCCCATCCAGAGACTTTGTGTGTCTTTTCTGCTGTCGTGGTTGGGAATTCCATACCGTAATGCTACGCCCTTGCTGCTGCAGGTGAGAACCTTTATGGCCGGCTGTGGCTGTTGCTGTTGGGATGAAAAACAGGGACGGCTCAAGCGAACAAAAACAAACCCACCGTCCAGTTGCATTGGATGGGAATCCTGATTCCATACCTTCTCCGTCCCCCTGAGACACAGATGCAAAGAGTTACGGAAACAGAATAGAAAAAGGGATGCGTCGTGCGTCACTGTTGCACAGGAGCGTGCACATCACACAAGCTCGCCCCTCCCAGCTCTGCGCGGCACACATGCAGGAGGCAGACAGCAGTTGACCTGACCTCGGTGTGGTGTTGTGATATTTCGCCCCAGTTTGCCTTTTGTCGTCGGTTTTGGGTTTTATCAGTTGAGAGATCTGATATAAGAAGCTGGTCTTATCCCCCACTACCGGTCCTTTTTCGTCACCTTCGTGGGGCTGTTGGCTATTTGGCGGAGTCACCCCCGTCTTATACAATTACCTATCTACGGGATACGGTACGGCATCCGTCCACCTCCACCACACCACTTGTTCAGCCATCTTTAAAGTTTAAGCTCTCGATACCTCCGTTTTGTTCATTTCTCTGTTTTCTTATCAGTTCCCAATCCCTCGACCCGACAACAAAGAGTACAACACGGCCCCTCCCTTGACAACCGTTCACAACCCCGCCCGCTTGGTCCTCGGGTTGCCCGCCTAGCGCCGGTCCATCGGTGTTGCAACGGTTGAGTCAACGGTGCACCCACTCTTTCTTTATCAGCCTTATAAGTCGTGCGATATCTGGAGCTGGTCGAGGGACTGCTCGGTTCGAGGGCGCTCATCTAAAGACAGACCAATGGCGTTGACCGCTCAAGTACACTTCTTGGTGAGTGGATTCATCCATGGCAGAGGTCCGTGAACCATGACTGATTATCTTGATAGGATGGCACCTTGAGTCTCATCCACATCCCCTTGAGCCTCTACCCTACCTTACTCCAGCCCATACTCCGACTCCTCCTTCCACAAAGCCGTGGCTCACCACCCGATCTGAACCTTGACAGCCTCACCCTGGACAGCAGTCAACATGGCTTCCTCAACATCAGCGTCACCCCTCTCGAGTGCTCCATAGTCTGCCACTCCTCCTGGGCCAAAACAATCTTTGAACCAGCCATCAAGCAACTACCCCACGACGCGGCCAAAACAGTCATCATCTCCAAAGATGACTACGTCGTCTTCTCCGTCATCAGCGTCGGGATGGACGCCGGGTCTCGAGTAGCGGATCTCACCTCCCCCTTGGCCCTAGCCAACATCCCCCTCTTTTTCATCACGACCTATTACTCTGACTTCATCCTCGTCCCAGTCAAAGACAGGCAGGCGGTCGAGAAGACGTTGCTATCACGGGGGTTTGTCTTTTCGGAAGACAATGATGACAACTTCCCTTTTACATCCCCTTACAGCACCAACCACGGCAGGGGGGCGAGTCAAGGCAGCAGCTTGAACGAACTCCCCACCACGGCCCGACAACAACCACCACCACCGTCCGCGATCCCGGAGCTCCAAGAGAGGACGTTTGACAATCTCAAAAAGAGGAACGTGGTCCCTTATGTCGAGCAGGGTCTGCTGCTGGTGCAGTGCTCGGGCAGGCAGGAGAATAACATGATAGGGGGTTACTCGGAACGGCCGTCTACCTTTCAGACTAACGGGCATGGGAGCCGCAACCGGCATTCTGCGCACAAGCCGTGCTGGGCCGATACGGTTGATACTAAGCTTTATACTGGACTGGTGTCGGCTTTGGTGTCCCAGCCGAGGTTTTTCAGTATCACACTGGCGCAGGACGATCCGCCTTCGTTGCTGCTGGATAGGGAGTTGGTGGGGATTTTTGGGGATAGTCTTGTTGGGGCGACGACGGAGGGGGGGGTTTCGCTTGTGCCGATTTTTCTGGACTTGAGCAGTCTGCCTATCGAGGCGACGGGGATTGTGAGCGGGGTGGCGGGGACGTTGGTGAAGGAGCTGAAGGAGCAGTACGGGGTGGTGGCGGAGGAGGAGGATGGGGGTGGTGGGAGGAGGGGGAGGGGGAGTGCGCAGGAGGAGGAGCTGGAGTTGAGTTTTTTGAGCACGGTGAGGGCGGGGGCGGTGATTTTGGGGGAGGAGGTTAGTATTAGGGCGATGGAGGCTTTGAGGAGGGTTCTGGTGAGGGAGGGGAAGTGATTGGGGGGGTTGAAAAGAGAAGGGGAAAAAAAAAAGATCAAAAAGGGACAAGGTATGGGGATTATATACAAGGCATAGGTTGTGTGTGCGTTCATATCAAAAGTTCACCACTTCATCTCGTATTACAAAGTTTCAAATATGGGTATCCTTCCAACTGATGACTGTCGCATCCTGTCCGTGACTTCCAATCACTTGAACCGATGGCATCTTTCGCACCCCTCCTGCTAGTGTCATACCCAGCCCCCTCAAACCTTCCTATCCAAATCCATTCCTTCCTCCTCCCCTTACCCAAACCCACATCGGTGTCACCTCCCCTTCTTCCTCCCCCCCTCCTTCTCCTCAGTCACCAATCCAGCCCTGACAAACCCATCCCTAGCAGCCATATTAATCAACGCGAACCGCCTCGGCCCCAGCTTCTGCCCTCCATACCACCGCGTCACCACCACCATGACATCCCACAAGTCCATAACCTGCATCAGGTGAAGCAGCCTCCCTCCCGCGGCCGTCTCCCCGTCGTCGTCACAATCTTGATAACTCGTCCCGTTTTCGCCTCTGATCCGCCAAGCAGTGATATTA